TGCGTATCTGTTTCTTCTTTGTGTGTTCCTACCAGAAAATAGACACTGGATTGCCATTCTTTCCTCCTATACTAGCAGGGTGATACCATCTTCCCCTAGACTTTAGATTCCCTGAGTGCAGCCTGTAATCTGCTGCCAGTCCCCTGCCCCCAGCCCTGGCTCCTTGCTCCTGTGCAGGGTCTATCCTGGGTAAAGTCTGAGCAACTGAGGATGTCGTGAAAGTGCCTGGTTGTAGCAGGGAGGCAGACTTTCTCAACCTGGCAGAGGCACCCAACCTACACAATTTGTAAATCTTTGATAATGCGCATTTACAGGGAGCTGGGAATGACTGGCCATGAATGCAAGCTAAAGGTTTTAATTAAAATGCCTCTGTCCCTTTAGTTTTCTCCTTTCCTCCCCTTTGTCCCCAAGCCCCCATGGGGCACATTTCTTGCTCCTGGACCAGGCCTGTGCAAAAAGAGTGTGTCTCATATTTCCTTTGACAGAGCTGCTCTCTGGGGGATTGAGAGCTCTTCTTTAGTGTGGGCCCACCGTGTGGGCTTGGTTGGACAGAGGCTATGCACACGTGGGTGGAGGCAGACCAGAAGTTCACTGTGCCGGCTGGAGCCAAGCAGATGTCTGTACCCCAGGAAGCACAGTGGGGATCCAAGCGGCTCATGAATAAGTGGCAGCTGCCAGCCTTGTGAGCTTCCTAGGGTGAAGCTCTGGGGTGAGGGCCGAGGGACCAGCTGAGGGACTTCCGGGCCAAAGGGGTGTTTCTTGGGCCTCTCGTGACACTTTTCTTTCCAAATGCCTAAATGGAGTGGGGAGCAAAAGCAGCTGTGAGGAAAAGGCTTTGCATTGCCCTCTCTGGGGTGGAGGGGCTGCCATGCTGGAAAATACCTTCTGTTTGCTTCTCCCGATTCACACCCTCCACCCCGTGCCCTAAGAATCTGAACTGTGTGCACTCCATCAGTACAATTCCTTGCCAGAGGATCTGGATGGAGTCTGGCCAATGAGGAGGCCTTGGCAGGACATTGGAGAGAAGCAAGACCATGAGGCTGCACTATTGCTTCCCCCGGATCTTTCCCTGTGGGTTCATCAGGGGCTGGTCTGTCTCTTGACTGAAGGTTACGATTTCTTTTTAAGGTGGTCACCCTATGAGATGCTCTCCTTCCTGCTTCTATTAACCACGCCCTCCTCTCATCCTTACAGGCATGGGGTGGTAGGGGCTGTCTCTCTTTCTGGGGACCCAGGGTCCTCTGTCATTCCTTGTGTACTCCCTGAGCACAACTTTATTAAACTCTCTCCAGATTACCCAGTTCATGTGTGTCATCTGTTTTCTGCCAGGATCCTGACAGAATCACTTCTCTTCCAGGCCACTCCTTTTCACTGGACACATGGTTAGAGGTATCCTGTTGGCTTCAGCTTATTCCTGGGATGTCAGTTTTGATGTGGAACAGAATGCAAAGTCTTGTTGGTGATAAAGGGCCCCACTTCCAGGGAGTTAGATGAGATGGGTTTGGAAAAATGCTAGTGAGTTTGCTTCCCAGGACCCAGTGATAGTCCTCAAACTTATCCAAAGATCTTTGTAGTGTAGAACAGAAGCCCTCTGTGTGTGTGTGTGTGTGTGTTTGTGTGTGTGTGTGTGTGTGTGTGTTTGTGTGTGTGTGTATGGCATGAGGTGGGAGGGAATGGGGTTCATTCCTCCCCAGAATGTTTTATGCAGGCTCTGGTACTATTCTTATTTATAGATAAGACAGTTGCAGTTGAGTGACTCGACAAGAATGTGAGGGGCATGCTCTGGCTTACGAATATTTAGCAAAGAACTGAAGCAGGCATTCTAGCAATTGGTGGGAATCTCTCCCTCTTTCATTCTGTTTTTCTTTTGTTTGCTCCCTGTTGACTATGAAGACTGATTTCAAGGATTTTGTGGGGAAGTGAGTAAGGGCATTGACCTCGGGGTAGGAAAGACTCCACTAAGATAGAGCCTCTTAGCCAGGCTTCCAGGATTCTTCTCATTCAGGGATGGTTTACCTCCCTACTTTGCTCTGGAGCCAGCCCCTGAGTAGGGTTTCTGATCTTGGTTTAGCTGACTGATTGCCTCATTCCAGGGCCTTGAACTTTTAGAAGCATGCCCTGTCCTCATGCTCACCTTTGACTCCTGCCTGACCCTTTTGCCCAGGAGTTTGGGTTGGTGTTCTCCACTCCACAGGCCCTAGACTCAATTTACCAGTACCATCCACAGTGGCCTGACAAGGTGAGCCTGACCCCGACCTGACGCTGTGACCAGTTATACTGTGGGGCTGTTCATCCCTCAACATACGTCTTTCCACTCCACGTCACCCAAGCAGGGGTTCCCTGACCGACTGGGAGAGAGAGGCACTTTCTCCGTTGGAAACGGAGTCAGGAGTGGCTTGCTGGGGGCCACACAGCTGGCAAGGGTTGGAGCCAGGGTTTGAAGCAGGTAGTCCGACACTGGAACTTGTCCTCTCAAACCCCAGCATGATGTTTCTACTTGTTGACAATGTGAAATTGCTCCTGTGTACAAGTAAAAGGTCCTGGGCTGATTCCGTCTCTCCTTCTTCCCTAAGCCACACTGCCATTGGCTCTGCTCAGAGCAGGTATAACTGTGTGTGCACAAAGAGAGATGAGAGAGATGAGGAGACAAGCCTTGAGAGAGAAGTGGGGGGCAGGTGCAGGTGGAGCCATTTCTCCCAGAGACGATTTGCATCCGTAGCTGAAGGGAGTGCATGTCATGCTGTCACAGGCTTTCCCTGTATTGACATAGTAACAATCCCTTACATTTGTGTAGCACTTTGTAGTTTTCACAGCATTTTCAAACCCATTAGCTCATTTTATCCCCACAACTGTCTTGCAAAGAGGCAAGAATTATTATTCTTATTTGCAGATGAACAGACTCAGTGAGGTTATGTAATTTTTCCCAAGTCGGGGATCCTGGGTGAAAACCTGGATAGCTGACTCCTGGTCTTATGGTCTGGGTCTCGATTTCTTCTTCATCACGTTCTGATTTTGAACCATCTGGGGGAAGGGCTGGCTTCCTGGACTTCCAGAAACCCCTCCTTCCTGGGTTCCAGGCCAACGAGACTATGTAAAGCAGTGGTTCTCACACCCTACTAGGCATCAGAATTACCGGGAAGGCTATCACAGATTTCTGGGCCCCACCCCAGAGTTTTTGATTCAGGAGGTCTGAGAGACCCAAGAATCTGCATTTCTTTCTTTCCTTCCTTCCTTTTTTTTTCTTCTTTAGAGAGGGAAAGAGAGAGGTGGGGAGGGGCGGAAGGAAGAGAGAATCTCAAACAGGCTCCATGCCCAGCACAGAGCTCGACACAGGGCTTGATCTCATGACCCTGAGACCATGACTTGAACTGAAATCAAGAGTCGGATGCTTAACCAACTGAGCCACCCAGGCGCTCCAAGCATCTGCATTCCTAACAAGTTCCCAGGTGCTGCTGCTGGTCTAGGGACCACACACTTTGAGAACCACTGATAGAAGCAATGTCTTGTGGATATTTAACTGGATTTCTTTCACCTGGGCTCGTATTGTGAGCTAAAGAAATCCCAGACAAAGAAAGAATTGCCCCTGTGGGTCTCTCCCCGAGGTGAAAAATTTGTGTGTGTCTTGCTTCACTAACTGCTGTGTGGCCCAGAGAATGGGAAGAAAACCTCAGGCTTTTTGGCTCATACACACAAAAGGAAAATGTCCACACATGAGATTATTAATTCATTGTTCAATTAAGTTATGATCTCTAAAATTATCACAATATTTGGCTGGGAGGAAGGCAGCATTGAATAGCTTGTTCCACGTAATGTGTGAATAATGTAACTTTATTACTTCTCTCGCTAGTGAGTAATTGTGACTGACACATTGGCAATAACACAGATTACCTTCTTACTGGCCCCCCCCCCACTCCCAGCACCGAGCGTTTACTTTCTTATCTGTATTCTCTCTCGCTCACCCGCTCCGTAGTCCCAGCCCCTTTCCTTGTGCTGCTGCTTTTCTGTTCTGCTTACAAAGTGGGGTTGTGGAGGAAGTAATGTACGAAGTGGGTCCCAGGAGACACGAGGGAGCACCATGTCCAGGCCCCTTGGTCACACTGGTGGGAGATCTTGTAAGGCCTACTTACATGTACTTCTTCCTCACTTTCCCTTTCTCCCAAGTCCCTTGTATGTCCACTCAGGGGCAGTGCGTTACAGCTTAGCTGTTCACAACAAGTGTGAGCTGACTTGGGCCCACACTCCAGCAGGGAGCCAGTTGTTGCAGGGTTGTGGCAGGGTCTGTAAAACTTGCCGGAGGTAGGATTATCTGTGTTTTCTTATTTTGTATCCCTTTTCAATACTTCTGAATCTAGCTTCTGTCTCTAGCTTGCCAGTTCTGGAAAAACATGGTACTCATCTGAGCCCCTCATTTCTACTCCCAGGTGCTCTGGGCACTCAGGCCATGCAGGCTATGTTGTTAGATCCTTGGACAGCTCCCAGCCTCCTCAACTGCATACAGCTAGAGGTGTGAGGAATACCCTTACCAATCCTCACTGGTCCTTTCTCTCTGCTACCGGGATCTAAACATTGTGTGTGTGTGTGTGTGTGTGTGTGTGTGTGTGTGTGTGTGTGTGTGTGTGTGTTTAAATCACTCTTTAGCTGTTAAACTTCAGTTTAGACACTATCTTGTCTTCTTCTTTCTTTTTTTTTTTTAAAGGGATGACATTTATTCCTTTTCCAAATGTTACAGTAAAACCAGGTGGAAGAGAATGGTTTTAGCAGTTAGAAAAAAAAAAAAAGTACAAATCTGGGGTTTGGCCATTAAAAGTTATTTACAACAATGGGAGGGGGAAAAAAGACAACAAGAAGTTGTTTCACATTACAGACCTCCCCCACCATCCCGAAGCCTAATACTTGCTTACCAAGTCAAAAAAGAGACACAGTCGATTCACAAGCTGGAGGTTTGAACTTGAATAAGACATTTATAAAAACCTAGACAGGGGCAGTGTCCTCTCCAGCCCAGGTGCCACTAGGCACAGCACAAGAGACTAAAAACTCAACAGGAGGGGGAAGGCTGGACACTCAGGGTTTGGGAGTGTAGGCACCCCACATCTGGCTCCAGGGATTTGGGGGAGTAAACAAAACCTACTTGGAAAAGAATTGGGGAAGAAAACCAGCAATTGCCTTCTGCAGGGGTGGGGACAGGAGAGGTAGGGCCAGGGGCAGGAGCATTTCACATCACTAACCTAACTCGGGAAACTGCAAGGGACCATCTTCAACCGGCCTTAAGAGGAAGGCCAGATGGATGATGGGAGAATCCACAGGAGGGAAAAGGAGAGGGAGCGTGGCTGGGAGGGGGCAACAGCCCCTTCCTTTCTGGGCACAGGAAGGCAGCCAGGGCACCAGGTCCAGGCAGTGACCTCACAAGGACAGCACAGTTTTTGCAGCTTAGAGATCACCCACCTGCCCCCACCCAGCTACTCATTCTGCTCGCTGGCAGGTGTAGGGCCACTCTCTGGCCCCGAGGGAGTGGATGGCTCTGCAGCCTGGGGCCCTGCCTCTTCTTCTGTGTCTCCTCCCTTGGAGGCAGCACTAGCCTCTGCCCCCTTGGCCTGGGGCTCCTGGCTCTCGGGGGTGGCAACAGCCTTCCCTTCCTGGGCTGTGCCTTCCTCGCCGCAGGCACCGATCTCCCCCTGCTCCTGCTCTTCCTCTGTGGGTGAGGAGGCAGACGAATCACCCCCACCCTCCTTCCGATTTCTCTTGAAGGACAGACCACTCAATTTGAAAGGCTTCTTGAAAGAGAATTTCTTCTTCTTCTTGGGGGTCTCCTTGGCGGGGGCATCCCCCTTGACCTCAGCGCCCTGGCTAGGGGGTGCTGGCTCGATGGCATCGCCAGTGGCCCCGGCTGCCTCCTCTGTTCCGTTCACGGGGGGCGACTCCCCTTCACCCTTGGGGGATAAGTCTCCATTGCTTTTCACGTGGCCATTCACCTGTCCGTTGGCCTTAGCAGGGGAAGCGCCTGCTGCCTCCTCGGAGGTCACGTCGCCCCGGGGAGCCTTGGAGCTCTGGCTGCCCATGATGGGGGGTCTGCTGGGGGGGGCGCCCGGGGCCACCCCGGGCTCGCGCCGCCGCAGGGGATAGTTCGGCCGGTTGGCCTGGCCGGCGGAGGGGTGGGGCTTGCGCCTGAGGGGGAGGGGTATGGGGGGGTAACCGAGCTGCAACCCCTCTCGGCGCCCGACCCGCTAGCTGCGCCCGCCACCGCTCCGCTCCGCGCCAGAATCTTGTCTTCTTTTTAATCATCCATCAGTACATATTTTTGTACCAGCAAATATATTTATTTAGGTAGAACTAGGATGCTGACAACTTATCTATAGTGTAGACATAGAAAGGACAGAAAGGATGGATGTATCCAATAGAAATTTGTTTCACGTGGTTCAGTCATGTTCCTGCTGCAAGGTCCTTATTCAGACACCATTTCTAACCTTCTTCCACCTACAATCTACACCACGTGAATGAGACCTGGTCACAGGAGAACCCTTCTCTCCTGCTCTGGAGGCCTGGTTTAGTGAACTGGAGCTTCCTCCAAAGCTCACATTCAAAGGGAAAACAGTCTCTTTTTCTGGAATGATCCAGTGTAGAAGGCCAATTTGCCTGCAGACTGTGTGTGTTGCTTGTACTGTTCTATCAACTGCTAGGGCAGGATTGGACCTGACTTACTTTCCCTTACTGAGTGGTGAGAGCTACAAGTTGAGCATGAACAAGTTGAACAGAGTCGGTCAGAACCTGTGATAAGCACTTGACATGAATTATTCCATTTAGTCTCCACAATAATGGAATGAGGAAGGTGCCTTTTTTTTTTTTTCCTCCATGTTTTACAGCTGGCTAGGGACAGAGCCAGGAGTCTCTACTCCAAAGCCTGTAGTCATCACAGTACTATAGTTGATGGCCTCTCTGTATGAATATCTGGCCTCACTCCTATGCCTGGGACAACTGTGGTTCTAATCAAGGTGAAGCAGATGATCATCTCAGAGAGCGGGTCAAATGGGTAGGGTAGAACAACTCTATGGAGTTGAGAGGAAGGACCACTTGAATGAGAGAGGCTGGGGGACTTCATGTAGGAAATGAGGCTTGAACCTTGGCTCCCAAGGGTTTAATGTTTGCCTTTCTTCTCAAAAAAGTACTAAAGGGAACCAGGCATCTTTGGTTAGCCTTGCCCTGGGTATACCAGGTATACCCTGCCAATCAAAGTTGGAGGATCAAAGTTTTCCCTTATTCAGCCCTACTCACACATTTCCAGCCAGCTGGGACCACTTGCTCTCTGTTCAAGAAAGAACCAGATTTCCCAAAAAAGCCACCCTCAGCCCTGGGCTACAGGTTTGGCCCCTCTTGGTTATGGTGGCCCTTGATAGTGTTCTTTCCATTATGTCTCTTGCCTCTCTAGTCCTCAAGAGGGGCTCATTTTTCTATGAGGAGCAAAGGGGAGGGGATCTGTGCACCCAGGGAATAAAGCCAGCATAGTCCTTCATGCAGCCCCTAGTTATAGTTGCTATACTTAGTTAAGAAGTGGGGACACTTCCAGCTTTTGGGCTACTTGTTCTGAAATACATCAGAAGTAATGCTAGATTTGAGGATGAGCACAAAGAACATTTTTCCTCACCTTAAAAGAAGTTCTAAATCTCAAAGACAGGGGCATATCCCAATCTAAGAGTCCAGAGCAAATCACTATCTCCAGTTTTTTCCCTCCCTTCTCCCATAGAGGTTGGATTTGAGAACTACATTAGGGTTAGAGAATCTTCTTCATTTAAAGGGATTGGGGGGGCACCTGGGTGGCTCAGTTGGGTAAGCATCTGCCTTTGGCTCACGTCATGATCTCAGGGTCCTGGGATCAAGCCCTGTGTCAGGCTCCCTGTTCAGCAGGGTGTTTGCTTCTCCCTCTCCCTCTGCTCCTCCCCACTGCTCGTGCTCTGTCTCCTAAATAAATAAAGAAATAAAGAAGTAAAATGTTTTTTAAAAAAGGGACTGGGGGGTTGGGTGGCTTCAAGGGCCATAGGAGACTGGGGCTGGAGGGCTGAACCCTGACTGGAGGTCTGGTGCAGGAGATGGTTGGAAGAGAAGAGCCTGGGGGGAGGAGGGTGGGTAGAGAAAACTAAAGTCTGGGATGCCTTCTCAGCTGGCCATTGTGTATCCCCCGGGATGGGCATCCCTGCCAGGTCACAGAGAGTAGAGATTCCGGGTCAGGAGTCAGACGGACCTAGGTTTTGAGACATGGCTTTGACACCAACTGGATATTTGGTCAGGTTGTGAAGCCTCTTGGGGATTCAGCTTCCTCACCTGTAAAATGTAGATAGAAATACCTGCTCTATCCATCGCAGGAGGTTGTTGTGAGAGTCTGAAGAGCCAATGAGTATAAAAAGCACCTTGTAAAGAGAAGAGTGTGGCCCAGGCATGAGGTGGAAAAGAGAGGTCCTGCCCTTCTATGAGACGTCCTCCTTTGCTTCTCATCTCCAGTGAGAACTATAAAGAATGTGAAAACAATGAAGAATTCTGGGGGAGTAACTTGTATATTTTTAAGTCACAGGAAGGGCCAGCAGGCCTGCAGGTAGTGAGAGGGGTCATTTTAGGAAGTGATGTATCTCCTATAAAACTCAAGTATCTCTGAGTCAAAGTCTGCTCTCAAAAGCCAGCCCCCCTCGTGTGGCAGACATAGGAATTTCAGCTCTGCTTCTTACTATTTTTATGACCTTGGGAAAATCACATAAAACTCCAAATTTTTTGTAAAAATGGGAATAGCACTATCTTTAGATATCCATAGAGTTATAACATAGGGATATACCGGTATACATAGGATATGGCATGTACTAAGTACTCAATAAATGTGGATCATTATTGTTATTCTTGAGCTAATTATCTTTGTTGAATAGGGAGAAAATACCCTTTCTTAAAAAATTTTATTTGTTTATTTGACAGAGAGAGACACAGTGAGAGAGGGAACACAAGCAGGGGGAGTGGGAGAGGGAGAAGCAGGCTTCCCGCCGAGCAGGGAGCCCGATGCGGGACTTGATCCCAGGACCCTGGGATCATGACCTGAGCCAAAGGCAGACACTTAACGACTGAGCCACCCAGGTGCCCCAAAAATACCCATTTCAAAGAGTTGGAAGATTAAAATGAGAAGGCATGTAAGCAGCACCTGTGTGTCCTATAAATGAGTTGTCTCTTTCTCTCTTACCGTACTTGTTCTCTTGAGGGCTCAGTACTGCCTAGACCTTGGAATTGGCCCTAACAAGAAGGTGGTTGAAGCCATGGGATGTGTGGAAGCTCTGCCTTAATACTGGGCTCACACTGCAGACTATTGAGTGTGTCTCAGCCTGCCTCCCAGATCTCACTGCCCTCTGGTTCTTCTGTTGGTTTCTTGTCTTTTGTGTTGCCATCCCGGACCCAGAATTTCTGCCTGCTGTGCTTCTACACCCCTTACCAGTGTTCCCTTACCAGTACTCTCTTAAAAGTGCTCCCTTGGGAAAGACATGTATCATATGACCTCACTGATATGAGGAATTCTTAATCTCAGGAAACAAACTGGGGGTTGCTGGAGTGGGGGTGGGAGGAGGGATGGGGTGGCTGGGTGATAGACATTGGGGAGGGTATGTGCTACGGTGAGCGCTGTGAATTGTGCAAGACTGTTGAATCACGGATCTGTACCTCTGAAACAAATAATGCAACATATGTTAGGAAAAAAAAAAGAAGCAGATAGCAGGAGGGGAAGAATGAAGGGGGGGAGTCGGAGGGGGAGACGAACCATGAGAGACGATGGACTCTGAGAAACAAACTGGGGGTTCTGGAGGGGAGGGGGGTGGGGGGATGGGTTAGCCTGGTGATGGGTATTAAAGAGGGCACGTTCTGCGTGGAGCACTGGGTGTTATATGCAAACAAGGAATCATGGAACACTACATCAAAAACTAATGTGTAATGTATGGTGATTAACATAACATAATAATTAAAAAAATAAATGTAATTAAAAAAAAAGTGCTCTTTTGGTCTTAGTACCTGCCAGGGATCCTTTTTTTGCTGCTGGTTATGGTCTTGGCCTGATGGGCTGAGCTCTTTGTGCCTTCCAGCAGTGGGGGAGTATGCGGATAACACCACAGTGGGAGTCCAGCTAACCTGGGCTTGGATTTAAATCGTGGCTTAATGACTTACTTGGCCACCTTAGGCAAGTTGCTTAATGTCATTGAGTCTGTGTCCTCATCAGTACATTGAGAGTAATGTGCACTACATGTACACCTTTCTCATTGCATTACTGAGGGAAAAAAGAGATGACATGTGAAAGAACTAGGAGGGTAGGTACTTAGTAAATACTAGGTTACCTCCCTCCTTCCTCTTCTCACTCCTCCTGTCCAGAAGCCTGCTTAAGGGAGGGGTAAAGGGCAGGGTGGGGAGCTTGCCTTTCCTCAAGATGACTCAGACCCTCCTCTTCATCCCTTATAGGATCACTCTCATCTCCTCATTATATTCTGGAAAACCTAGATCCAGCCTAAAGTAAGATTTTTAGCTGGACCTATTTTTAGGAGTGGAAAACAGAGCTTCCTCATGGATGTGCTGTGTTAATTTCCATATGGGCTGATTTCAGAGTAACTGGGAAATTTCAGTAATTAGCAGTAGCAGCATTAGTGAATCATGTTGAACCACCCTCTGCTCACTCCTCTCTTTTGCATGTTCTGAATGCCTTTGCTAAGACTGTCTTAGCCTCTTCTGGCCCTTGGCCTCATGTTCCCACTGCAGATGCCATGTTTCCTGCTTAGCGCACTGGGTCAGTCTCTGTCAGCCTCCTCCCTTCTCTTCTCTAACCTCTTGCCCAAGCCTCTGCCTACTTGTTTGCCCAGAATCCAGCAGGCACACTTAGCTAGCTTGTCTTCTTGCAAATTCCACCAATGGGTTTATTTCAGTTCTTAGCGTTAGAAGAAAGGAAAAAAATGAATCATGTCTAAATCCTGATAAAAATATGGCTTAGTGGTGTCTGGGCTGACAAAATCCTACTTGGAGAATGGAGACCTATTTCTCTCTCCCGGGCTGGCTACCCCTG